CATATATATATATATATATATATATGTATATATATGTCCTGGACTTCGGAACAAACGTTCTGCTCGCGTCAAGGACCTTCGAGCAAAGCGCCCTCCTCCTCCTCCTCCTCCTGTTCCTCCGCCCCCTCCCTTCTCCTGCTCCTGCTCCTCCTCCTCATCCTCCTGCTCCCCCTCCCCCTCCGCACCCCCATGCCCTTCCTCACGATCCCCCGCCTCCTCCTCCTCCTCCTGTTCCTCCTCCTCATCCTCGTTCCTGTCATTTCCCTCCCTGTTGAGCCCAGAAACAAGCGAACCGCCTGAGACATCCCCACAATATGGCCGCGAACGTGCCCGTGCAACCACCCCTGGCGGCTCCCCATAGGGGTGCTGCAACCAGCGCCCCGCTTGAGACATCGTCACAATCTGCTCTCCAAGCGAAGGATGTTGAGCCCAGAAACAAGCAAACCGCCTGAGACATCCCCACAAAATGGCCGCGAACGAGCCCGTGCAACCACCCCTGGCGGCTCCCCTTAGGGGTGCTGAAACCAGCGCCCCGCCTGAGACATCGTCACAATCTGCTCTCCAAGCGAAGGATGTTGGGCCCAGAAACAAGCAAACCGCCTGAGACATCCCCACAAAATGGCCGCGAACGAGCCCGTGCAACCACCCCTGGCGGCTCCCCTTAGGGGTGCTGAAACCAGCGCCCCGCCTGAGACATCCTCACAATCTGCTCTCCAAGCGAAGGATGTTGGGCCCAGAAACAAGCAAACCGCCTGAGACATCCCCACAAAATGGCCGCGAACGAGCCCGTGCAACCACCCCTGGCGGCTCCCCTTAGGGGTGCTGAAACCAGCGCCCCGCCTGAGACATCCTCACAATCTGCTCTCCAAGCGAAGGATGTTGAGCCCAGAAACAAGCAAACCGCCTGAGACATCCCCACAAAATGGCCGCGAACGAGCCCGTGCAACCACCCCTGGCGGCTCCCCTTAGGGGTGCTGAAACCAGCGCCCCGCCTGAGACATCCTCACAATCTGCTCTCCAAGCGAAGGATGTTGGGCCCAGAAACAAGCAAACCGCCTGAGACATCCCCACAAAATGGCCGCGAACGAGCCCGTGCAACCACCCCTGGCGGCTCCCCTTAGGGGTGCTGAAACCAGCGCCCCGCCTGAGACATCCTCACAATCTGCTCTTCAAGCGAAGGATGTTGAGCCCAGAAACAAGCAAACCGCCTGAGACATCCCCACAAAATGGCCGCGAACGAGCCCGTGCAACCACCCCTGGCGGCTCCCCTTAGGGGTGCTGAAACCAGCGCCTCGCTTGAGACATCCTCCAAATCTGATGTGTGTTAAGTAAGTCTGAGTATGAGTAGGTCTGAGTATGAGTATGCCTGAGTATGAGAAAGTCTGTGTATGAGTAAGTCTGTGTATGAGTAAGTCTGGGTATGAGTAGGTCTGTGTATGACAAAGTCTGTGTATGTGCAAGTCTGGGTATGAGTAAGTCTGAGTATGAGTAATACTGTGTATGAGTAAGTCTGGGTATGAGTAAGTCTGTGTATGAGTACGTCTGGGTGTGAGTAAGTCTGTGTATGAGTAAGTATGTGTATGAGTATGTCTGAGTGTGAGTAAGTCTGAGTATGAGTAGGTCTGAGTATGAGTAAGTCTGAGTATGAGTAAGTCTGAGTATGAGTAGGTCTGAGTATGCGGAAAGAGGAGGAGGGGAGGAGGAAAGAGGAGGAGGGAGAGGGAGTAGGAGGCGTCCAAGTAATAACAAGAACCCCATCTTAGGATATGGGGAAAAATGCTAAAAACATAGTCCCAAACCTGTTTTTGACTATTTTTGGACCTCCTGTAGAGGGACATGCCCGACTCAGTGCCAGGCGCACCTTTCAGGACCCACCAGCAGCGTGGTGACGGACCGCGCGGTGACCTCGGCACCCCAGGAGGTCGCACCGCGCGGCCCGCCGCCGCGAGGCCTCGGGACCCTGGAGGCCCTGGTCGTCCACGGCGTCCTCGAAGAACGACCCGAGTTGACCAGCCTGGAAGATATCCCTATCCCTAAGCTGGGCATCGCCTCGTCACAATACCAACCTTAAGGATTCCCCTAGTTTTTCAGGGCACATCCCTAAGATTGTCATGGCCTTTTGCCGTGTCAATCTTAGGGATAGGGATAAGTTCGAGGCTGGTGACGAGTGCCCAAACTCACCGCTCACCAAGCGGTGAGTTTGGGCACTCGTGGCACAAGAGGACACGGGCTGCGGGGCAGACGGGCCCCAGACTCCGTACAGCAGGAGCTCGACCACAAGAAGCCCTCCACAAGAAATCCAACCCTGAGACCCCAGGACGCCCAGTGACTTGTGGTGTGGGAGCGTCACGCTGGCCACAGCAGAACCATCGACACCGAAGAAGCCCAGGGCACCCTGGAGGCAAACAGGATGTTCCTTGGCACGGGTTGCAACTGTAGCTTTCTCATCCCGACCCGTGTTCGCGCCGGGCGCCGCGCGACCCGACGTTTTTCCGCCGTCGGCAGCGGCTGGCTTCACGTTGGCGTCCGAGAGCATGGCGCGTTGCCGTTTTCAAGGAGTATGGGGCCCAGGGAGCGCCCCAGGAGCCTGCAAGCGGCGACGGACCTCCGGGGCCCGCTTCCCTCGGGACCTCCTCTCCTCCATGGCGACGGTCAGGTCGGGCATGTCCCCCGACAGGCGGACCCTAGACGAAAAAATGTAAATACTTCAACAAACACCCAAACATGGTCAAACATGCTATACAAAAAATCGTCGCCAGACTATCCTTTCACAATTTTTGAATATTCCTCCTGGCCCGACTTACAGTCAAAAACCCTAATAAGGACGCGCGGTGAGGACGCAAGACCCTTGGAAGCCGAAATTGGGATTTTTGGGGCGGCGGACGACGAAAACATCAAGGACGCAAGAGCAAGGAATAGCAAGGACGCAAGGGTACCCTGAGCAAAGTCGCGCGTCCTTATAAGGGTTTTTGACTGTAAAGCTACTGGCACGGTCTCCGTCGCCCTGGCTGCCCGTGGCCTTCCGCCCTCGCGCCCGCGCCCGCGCCGACCCGCCCCCGCCAATACCGCCCCGCGCCTGCAGCTCGGGGCTCGACCAGCGCAGCGCTATTCGGTGCCGTCGTGCCGTCGTCTTGGATGCCGCGCGTGGCGTTTTCGGGGCCGTCGGAGGCTTGCCCGGATGCTGATGGCACTCCGTGCCGGGGCCGCCTCCTCCTCCTCCTCCTCCTCCTCCTCCTCCTCCTCCTCCTCCTCCTCCTCCTCCTCCTTTGAATAACTTCAGTGCGACCGCCGAGCCGCATGTTTCGGTCTCACCCCTGCTCACGCACCGCCTGGTGCAAGGCTGACCTGACCTGTGTTGTCGTTTTCCCTCGTGTTGTCTTCGTTCCGCCTTCGCTGCAGAACGAAACCACAACGAAAGAACCGTTCAGGTCGAGCCCTGCCACCACAGGTCCAAGATTGACCTCCGTGACCACTCCTGGCGAGGGATCCGCACAGGACTCCGGGGCGAACGCGAAACGCGGCGAGGAGGGCGACCCAAGAGGCCACTGGAAAAGGCCGCAGCACTTTGAGTCGGCAGCTGCGCGCGCGGCGACACAGCGGCGACGGTAATGGCCAAGCGCGAGAGAGAGAGGCCTGGACTCCAAACCGAAGAAAGCAGTAACACCTTTTCCCTCCTCCTCCTCCTCCTCGCCCGCGTCCAAAACTGCAGCGAATGATCCCACAAGCGGGAACGCCGCTTGCCTCCTCCTCCTCCTCCTCCTCCTCCTCCTCCTCCTCCTCCTTCCCTCGCCCCCACGCAGGCTCCAGGGATGAACCGAAGAGGCCCTCCAAGGCCACCCCCTTGCCTCCGCTCCTCCTCGGGCATCTGTTGGCCCCATCTCCTTTGGGCGTGGGGCCCCGACTCCTTCCTGGAGCGACCGCCGTTCCCCCCTGGGCTGTCATTGAGCCACTTCTTTTTTCACATTGCAGGGACATGAATCTGACGAAAGCCTCGAAACGTCCAGGCCAGAGGTTAAAGTCGTCGTTGCACGCTCTCACTCCTCCCAGGGTGGGAGGGTGGGAGCCGAAGACATGCTATGGAGGGGAGAGAGCGGGGACAGGTGAGAGAGGGCACTCCGATGTGTAAACTTCCATGGATCGTTTAGCAGGTATTGACATCACCGAATTCAAAAAGCCCAAGCTCAAACCGTTCAAGAACATATAGAGCCACTTCTTTTTTCACATTGCAGGGACATGAATCTGACGAAAGCCTCGAAACGTCCAGGCCAGAGGTTAAAGTCGTTGCACGCTCTCACTCCTCCCCAAGTTTCCCGAATACGGGAGTTCACTAGGGTTGGGAAGGGAGGGATCTTGAGTTGTATCCGAACGTGGCGACGCAAGCGGCAGTGAGCGCTCGAACTATACAGTGTGCGAGCTCAGGCGGGTAGGCGGCCGCGGGACGGGTGCGGGCGCTTCCTTCGAGCTGGAAGTGAGGGAAGCCTGTCCGCGAGCACCGTCTTTTCTGACCACAGCATTTTCTGCACAGATTCTTAAGGTCGTCAACTGCTACGTGACAGAACATCAGGCGGGTTGGCTTCTTACATAGGGCTCTGAATTGGCACTGGTCTAATTCAACTAAACTGACATGCGGCAAGTGGGCTAAAGCTTGGATCTCTGCGGTGTGCCACAGACGAGAGGTGAGCGGGTGCTCAAGGACGGCAGGGATCTTGAGCTGATGGAAAAGAGCAAATAACCCTATGGCGGCGTGGGCAATCTGATTGCCTACTTTGACTTTCTCTCGGTCTGTGGCGCTGAGCAGCTGTCTGGGCAACCCCCAGGGCATGTCCGGGGACCGGACCTTTGCTGTCCGATCCCGCGCGATTGAAAAGGTTTGGCAAGAAGAGGCCAAAGTTGCTGCCAATATTAGGCCCCGACGGGCGTCGCGTCGGATTGCCCGAAGGACCTTCGGGTCAACAAGATTCTGCCATACTGGATCGTGGGCTACATCCCAACTGCGTGTCCTGAAGCCTAGCTTATCTCCTGCTCGCGAGATGCACCGGCTCCCGGCAAAAAAGTCCGCTACATACCGGCCTCTGAGGCCAAAACGCTGTGCGACGAGGCGTCTCTCGCGACAGCCGCGGGAGGTCCGCCTTAGCTTGGCGCGAGCGACTGCCAGGTCCGCATCCGCATCTCCTCTAGGGCACGCGAGAGACTGCTGGCGTCGATGCTCGCGCCTGAGCGGCGGAGGTGGCACAGGGTCAGCCTGTCGACCCCGCCCTCGGCCGCCGCCAGCTGCACCGCCTCTGAAGGCTCTAGGTACGCGAAAGGCCACAGCATTGGCCGGTCTCCGCTCACTTCGGGCTCGGGGAATAGAGGGCCTGCCCCCTGGAGGTAACTCGAGCCCAGGAGGCGCTCCCCGTTGTAGCGATTTGTTTTGCTCGGTCTTCCCTCCTCCTCGGGGTGAGTCGGAAGGTTCCAGCTGCCCACTGTTGCGCGCGGCGGTGGGACCAGGGCGCACCTTAGAGCTGCCGCCAGAGAAGAGGATCTGGAACAGGCGGAGAGGCCCACCGCTAAGAACAGAGCCATGAGCGGGAGGCCCTTGTCCGCGAACGGCAGTGCTCGGCGGGTCCGCGGGGGCGCCCGTCGTCTCCACGCCTCCAGCGCTCGCCACGTCCGCGGCGGGGCTCCCCCGCCCCGCTGGTCGAAAGCTGGGCGCCGGTCCACCAGGGCAGTTCCAGTCTGGTCCTCCAGGCCGCTCTGCTCCTCGGACGGGTACATCGCGTTGAAGTAGTCGCACGCCCAGCAGTCCACGGCCTCGTTCGCGCCCCTCATAAGCTTGTCGTTGGTCGGGTCGGCACGCGAATAAGAACGATCGAGATAATTGGCGTAGCGTTCCCTCGCCCGGCGAGACACCGCCAGACGCTCCAGCAACGCGGGCCCCCCGACAACGGCCTGCATGAACATGTCCGTGTGGAGGGCCGCGTGGCGTTGGCGCCGGGAGTCCTGGAGGCGGCGAGATCTCCTCGGAGCCGCCGTCGCACGGTTCACCACGTTGTCGGGCCCGTTCGACTCGCCCTCTCCCTCGGCGCCCGCCTCGTCGTCGCCAGCGGAGGCCGCGGGAGCGAGGTCCTCGAGCGCCACGGGAGGCGACGTCGGCGGCTGGCAAGGGCGGCGCTCCAAGCATGTCCGGGCCGGTCGGGCGCCGTGGACCCCCGTCGGCACGTCGAGGCGGGCTCTGGGGCCACGTGCCTCCGTCGCTCTCTGGGGCCCCGCCAGCATTCTCGCCCTCGCCCTCGCCGCCAGCGGAGCACTCGGGCAAGGCGGCGGGCGAACGCCAGGTCGCGGCCGAACACGTAGCGGCCCTGGAGAGATTGGCCGCACTAGGGCCCACGTCGGCTGCAGCGTCCGAACACACATCCGTCGGGACAGACTCCTCAGGCACGGAAGCGAGGGAGGCCTGAACATGTTTTGAGCCAATACGGCTACGGAGAGCAGAGAGAGAAGAAGGGGGCGAGATCCTAACCTGCTGATCCAGGACATCGGTTAGCAATTTGGACGAGACTTCCGAGTGATCGCGGCTCCCGGCATCGCTCTGGTTAAACTCCGAAGGGATCCATCTAAAATATGGGGCGATGCCAAGGGCAAGAGCGTAAGCGTTGAAGCGTCGAATCTGGACCAGAAGCTTGAAGTCCTGACTCCTCGAGCGGGCAAAAGCTAGGACCGCGGCCATATTGTCACACATGAGAAGTTGCATGATGCAAGACCCGTGTCTGGTCCTGGCGAGCCTACGGATGGCCTTCACCAAGACCCGGGCCTCCAGCACCAGAATACCCTCGCTAAGGCCCCAAACCCCTTCGGGGCGGTTTCCCAGGCCGAGCCCCGGAGGAGCTGCCAGGGGACTTCGGGAAAACCAGCAACGACCTCCCAGTCGTCCGAAAGAGGCTCATCTCCTAGAAGCTGGCTTCTCCACTCGCCTGACTCGTCACGGAAGAGGTGGGCGGAGGTGAGTGCGGATTCCCGAGCGGAGTGAGCACCGACGCGCTTGAAACGGGAGCGCTCGCTGACACGACCGACGCCGGCGACCTGAGCTGGGTCCCAGAAGCTTTGGGCCATCGCCCAGCCCGCTAGGCTGGCGTCGGTTTCTAAAACGCAAGGGTTCCATGGCAGCCACCAGTCGCGGCCCAGAAGCAAAAGGACCCCTCTAAAAGCTACGAGCTCCTCGACCACTTCGGGCCACATCGGGCCCACGTCGAGATACTGAACAGAAATGAACTTATAGACAGCGTGGAAGATAGACAGGGACTCACGAGCCGCCAGGCCGCAAAACGTGCAATGCCCGATTACTTTTTCAAGCGCCTGGCCGCTGCAACGCCCCCGAGCGAGAAGGCCAGTTAAGCCTCGCTCGAGCTTCCAAAACCGGCTCGAGGTGATCCCCGAGCGAAGGCGGACGCCGTCAAGCTCGGTGCCGAGAGCCTCACCCGCGCCCCCGTGGGGCCCTGACTTGTGGAGCGCCAGCCCGACCGGCTCGAAAAGATCGCTCCATTCTGACACCATCCTCTCACTGAGATCGGCGTCGTCCGACACGGCGCCTAGGTTGCCCACGTACACGTAGGCGCCCCCGACCCCGCGCGAGGCGGCGCGAAGTACGAAGGCCTCGGCCTGGTCCTGAATCAAGGGCTGCTGCCTGCCAGCCGGCATCGCCTTGCACAGGCTGGGGCTTTGGCACACCCTGTCCTCATTCGCCGCCTGGGCCAGGTACAACGACCACGTGAACCCCATGGGCAGCGCGGCCAAGTAGGGCCGCACGGGAGCGTCTGGCGGGGTCTCCGCCGGGACGCCGGCCACCTGCAGGCCGTCGAAAACGTACTTGGGGACGGCGGGCAGGCAGAAGTAGCGGCCAAGGTCCTCGCGCACGCGCATCCGGTAGAAGCAGTCCTTCACGTCGGTGGTGGCCACGTAGACGGCGAAGGCATCCAGGAGCCGCTGCCCCTCAACCGACGAGGGCAGAACACCAGGCGGCAACTCGATCTCGATCCGGCCGAAACACTCACTGCTGAGAAGCAGCACGCCTGGCGGAGCTCTGAAGTGGCCGTTGCTCCGCCTCGCATCAATTATCATACGCTGTGCCCCGTTCGTTTTAGCTACGAATAACAGGCCTACCGACTCGGCGGGCCTAGCCGTTACACCAAGGAGTCCGCGTCCAGCAAGATCTCGCAGAAAGGTACGGTAGGATTTGGGGTTCCTCTTCAGCACCGGGTCCGTGTATAGCCGCGGCGTGCTGTCGAAGTTGACTGACTCCGGCTCCAACCTCATACGCTTGTGGTTCTCCTCCAAGAACGAGCGGCACCCAGGGCTCACGATATCCTCGATGAAGCGGCAGTCCAGCACGCTGTCGGGGAGTGAGACCTTGCCGGGCAGGTAGGAGACGAGGTTCCTTGGGGCCAAGTCCGTCTCGTACACGGACTGCCCCCGGAGCAGCTCCCTCAGGGCTGCCTCCGCCCTCGGCATCACCTGCGGAGCTGCGGCCTGTCGCCGATGAGCTTCACGAAGCAAGTGCTGCTGAAGGGCTGCATGCTTGTCCAGGGTCGTTGCGCCCGGACTCGGTGAAGCGGCAGCGCCCTTGAAGCCGGCCAACCAGTTCAAGCTGCGGAGGGCGCGATTCACCAATTCCACCTCGTGCTGCCGAGCGCGAGTCCTATGCTGAGACCTGCGCCCACGGGCGGAGCCGCCCGGCGCAGCCATCATCGGCACGGGGAACAAGTCTCTCTCAAAATCGGACGGCGGCAGCGGTGAGGCGCGGGCCAGATTGTGGTACCAGCCGGGGGGGGCCCACTCCCCCGGCTGTGCCTTCTCGGTCATGACTGGACCGGCGGGGGGGGGCCCGGGGTGCGACCTCCGCGGACACGACCGCAGCGACCTCCCCCCCTGTCCCCACCGCCGACCCTTATGGTGGCACCCTCAGCGCCCGGCTGGATTTCAGCAGATCCCGACGTCACACGAGCATCCGCAGCCTCGGCCTTCATCACGGACTGCTCGACCCCACAGACCTCCTTCATGTGGTAGGCCACGTGGCTCCTCGGCGGCGGCGCCGTCGACTCGTCTGACTCGCCCAGCGAAGCCAAGTACTTGGCGGTGGCGAACGAGGGGGTGCCAGCGCACTTGTAGGCGTCCACGGTCACGTTGAGCCGGCGCTCGGCCACCACAAGGAGAGCGAGCCCCCCCAGGTTGGCCTGGTCGAAGGACACGGCCTCCTCGAGCACCTCCATCGGCGGCCAGGGCCCAGGGGCGACCCGGTCGGCGTGCACGACGTGCTTGTCACTCAAGAACTTCTCGAGCCAACTCCGAGGGGTGCCCATCGTGTGGTACATCATCTTGCAGGTGTGCAGGCGAGTCAGGCCGTCCTCCTGACGCTGGTGGCCCTCGACACAACCCGCCGACTCGTTCGCGGCCTCTCTGAACCCCTTGTACCGCTCCCCTTGGCCGTCCCACTCGATCCAGAACATGCGAGTGCCATCTCGAGCGGCGTCAGCCAAAGCATCAGCCGACGGAACGCCATCCCGGGCGGGAGCGCCCTCCGCGCCGCTGGCAGCGGCGCCATCCAGGACACCGCCCGGGGGAGAGGAGCCGAGCGTCGCCACGTGAACTGCCACCTCCAGGAGACGGCCCAGCTCGGCCGCACGGCGTGACGCCCAGCCTGCCCCGTCGTCCCGCGGCACCAGCTCCCGACGGAACGCCCGTCCGCGACGAAGCCCGGGGGCACCCAATCCAGCGCCAATGAGCGTCTCGTTCGACGGGTCCGCGAGCGTGCCGATGTCCAGGTCGAACACTGGCTCGGTCAGCACCCAGACGTGCCCCTGCCTCCCGCGGAGTCGGTGCGACGGCCACGGCGGCGCGGCCCACGGGAACACCTCCCCGCCTTCCAGCAGCATGCCAGAGGCGAGCTCCACGTGGGCGGGCCCCCCGGCAGCCGCCTGCCCGCGAGCCTCCATCGCCAGTCGGCACCCGTCGGCCGGCTCCACGAGCCGAGTGGGGGTCGGCCGCTCGCGGAAGCTGCACAGCTTCCGGCCATCAGCAGGCGAGGCACCCCCGTCGGCGATGCGCTCGTCATCCGAAGGGCCGTCGGTAGGTGAGGCCCCTGAGAGCAGCTCCCTCCACCAGTTGCCGTCGGGCGAGAGGACCCAGTAGAAGTGCAGACCCACCCGCTCGACAGCCTCCACTCGCCGCGAGGGCCAAACCACGACCCGCTCGAGATCCTTGACGTCGTCGTCGTAGCTCACCCGGGCGAGAGCACCGCGAGGGAGATCAGCGCACCACTCTTCCCCCGTGGGAGTCGGAGCCGTCAACAAGGCCTCGACGCCGGCGTCGGCGTCCCCGTCGAGCCACACCAGAGCCTCACTCCGCGGCACGGGTCCAGGCCGGAGGGGGCTCGCTCGCCAGTCCAGACCAGCTATCAGCGCCACGCACAAGGCCGGCAGCGCAGCGGGCCCGCCGGAGGCGGGCATGCGGCGTGCCGCCCGTCCTTGAGCCGAAGACAGGCTATGGAGGGGAGAGAGCGGGGACAGGTGAGAGAGGGCACTCCGATGTGTAAACTTCCATGGATCGTTTAGCAGGTATTGACATCACCGAATTCAAAAAGCCCAAGCTCAAACCGTTCAAGAACATATATGACGCAGCCTGGGCCCCCAATCGGCGGTGGGCAAACCTCCCTTTCGTAAACCTCCCCTTCGTGAAAACGGCCTGGGGCCGAAACCGACGGACCTGGACCCGCAAAGATGACGGCCGCGACGCCCTCTCGCGAACCGAAAACGGCCAATTCGCTAATCGACGTGTCAGGGTAGGAGGTCTGTCCACCCCCGACCCAATCCGGTCTCCAGAGGCTCCGAAAAGGCGGAACGCCCGCCTGCATATTTCTGTTCGCCCCGCTGGAGATCCGGATTCTCCTCTTCCTCTGGGCCCTGGCTCGCTCTTGTGCCGACCCGTGCAGTAGGAGCTCGACCACAAGAAACCTTCCACAAGAAACCCAACCCTGAGACCCCAGGACGTCCATTGACTTTTGGCTTGGGAACGTCACGCTTTCCATAGCAAAACCATCGAAACCCAGGAAAACCAGGGCGCCCTGGAGGCAAGCAGGGTGTTTCTTGGCATGGGCTTCCACTGTAGCCCTCTTGACTCCAAACTCTGGCTCGCCGGTGGCGCACAAATGCTCAATTCATCAACGAGGGCCTCGTTGCTGAGCCATGTGAGCATGGACGTGCGCTGCATCCAGCATCTTTGCCGAGAAAAAACCCTCCTCGTCTTCATCCTTCTGTCTCCGCCCTCCTTCCTCCTTCTCCACCTCCTCCTCCACTTCCTGCTGTGCGCTCGTACGACTGCTGCAGACTGCCAACGACCGAGGCCAACGCACCCGTGATCTCGGGGAAGGGTGGGCGGCAGTGCGAGCAAGAGTGGTACACCCCTCATTTGTATTCGCTGTCATGTGGAACTGTCCCCTTGGATGAAGGCGCAGGCGGAGGAGGAGGAGGAAGAGGAGGAGGAAGAGTATCGAGGTGTTGGGGCCCTTTCGGAGATGATCCTCCAGAGACTTCCAGACGATGTCCTCGATCCCTCCTTCCCCGACGACGACAGCGGCGACAACGGGAGCGACGATGGCACCTACAGCGGCGGCGGCGGCGAAACGGTCAGCGGCGACGACGGCGAACAATTTCGCCGCAGTGCGCGCGCGCGTGCGACCGACCGTGGGGCGGGTCCTTGCACGGCAACTCCCAGCAGTCCGGGTCTTTCGGGGCGGGGTCCTGGAGCGGCGTTGCTGGGAAGGTTGGCGGTGGTCGCAAGCAGGCCGCCACACGAGGACT